GGGCTGAGAGAGAGTAACTGGCCCAAGGTCACCCAGCTGGCTTTGTGCCTAAGGCAGGACTAAAACTCATGGTCTCCTGGTTTCTAGCCTGGTGCCTTCACCACTACACCAAACTGGCTCTCAAAAAAATATTGGCAACTGCCTGGACTAGTCCCTGCAGTTTTCTTGGCAAGATTTCAAAAGTGGTTTGCCATTGCGTCCTTCCTAGGGCTGAGAGAGAGTAACTGGCCCAAGGTCACCCAGCTGGCTTTGTGCCTAAGGCAGGACTAAAACTCATGGTCTCCTGGTTTCTAGCCTGGTGCCTTCACCACTACACCAAACTGGCTCTCTACTTGCCAGATATTATTAGCTCTGCATTTTTCTCCTTGGAATCCTCCAGATACCATAGATGGAACTCCCCCAATTCCCAACCAGCATGGCTAATTGTGAGCCCGGGGCTTCATCCCAGTCAGAGGGTGCCCAACCAGGGGAAGCTACTCTCAATGGCTATTATCAATTTTGATTTACTCTTAAAAAAAGGACCACATTGGAGAACTGCAGGGTTTGAACAGAGGGAGGGAGGGAGGGAGAAACATGATTCTGCTGATTTCCTTTCAGAGAACTAGCCTTCTTTTCTTCCACCTTCATATAAATCGGTGTTTCTCCTCCACCTGGCTGGGGAATTCTGGGAGCTGAAGTCCACACAGTGGAAAGCTCCTGAGGTAGAGAAGCACTGATATAAATTATTCAAGGAGGCCAGCCCAGCCAAATGAATGCCATCTAAAAAGCCACTGCTTGAATCTCTCAAAACCCATCTTACTAATGCTTGTGGGAAACAGGAAGCAAGCTGCATTAAAAAAAAAAAAGGCAACATCAGCAGATGTGCGAGTTAGGGGTGTGTGTGAGAGATTCTGTATGGTAAGACACAGGGCCATTGATGCTTATTCATTCATTGCTTGATTATATTTATATCCCATCTTTCTTCTAAGGAATACCAAGTGATGCTCAACCCATTATCACTGGTCAAAACAGAGCAGATGTTTACAGGCTGAAGGCCTCGAAGTAAATCTCCAACAGTGTTTCTCGACCTTGGCCGCTTGAAGATGGGTGGACTTCAACTCCCAGAATTCCCCAGCCAGGTTGAGGAGAGCTGGCTGGGGAATTCTGGGAGTTGAAGTCCACCCATCTTCAAGTGGCCAAGGTTGAAAAACACTGTTCTAACATCACTGAGTAGAGCTGACAAAGATTAACTCCCAGAATTCCCCAGCCAGCTCTCCTCAACCGGGCTGGGGAATTCTGGGAGTTGAAGTCCACCCATCTTCAAGTGGCCAAGGTTGAAAAACACTGTTCTAACATCACTGAGTAGAGCTGACAAAGATTAACTCCCAGAATTCCCCAGCCCGGTTGAGGAGAGCTGGCTGGGGAATTCTGGGAGTTGAAGTCCACCCATCTTCAAGTGGCCAAGGTTGAAAAACACTGTTCTAACATCACTGAGTAGAGCTGACAAAGATTTCTGTCACGATCCCAAAGACTCCATGGATGGAGACGGTCCTCTGCTAAATGGACCATGAGTCTGATTCTCCGCTTGGATTTTGTGGCCCCCTAAGCCACTCTAATAAGCCACAAGTGGTAGGGGTTACAAAGCACTGAATGAAGGCACCTCAGTATGCTTCAGCATGGGCACAAAATAAGGACTGGCAAAGAGGAGACTAAAGAATGCAATCGGTGTTCAGCATCCTCAGAAATGGTCTAAAAAATAACCTTTCTTCAACAAGACACACGAGGCAATTTGCTTTTTGCCCAGCAAAGGAGAGGTCCGGAAAAGCACCGGATCTTATTCTTACACAAATGATGCCCAGCACTGAGGGTGCAAGAATGGCTGACACGCCGCTCTGAAATTCTCTCTCCTTGCACTTTTCTGAAACTCTGAGTTTTTGCAGGCTCGGAATATTTTTATTCCAATACATTTCTGGTGGCCTGATGTTGGGGGCAAGTGTTTGCCCTAGATCCCTCAGGTGCAGCAGGTCACAAATACCATTCGATAACAGTCCCTGAGGTGAGATGGGCGGCTGCATAAATTTAATAAATAAATGAATAAACCAAGCCTTGCTGCTTCCCTACAATAGGCAGATGGAGACATCAAGCATCTCCAACTTCTGATTTGTAATTTCCTTTTAGGGCTAGGAAAGATCTGTTCTTCCTTCTGATCCTTTCTGTGACCCTTAAAAGTCTTTTCTGGGCGGTAGAAAAATATGACTTAAAGTACTGTGCATGTCTGAGGAGGTGCTAGTAATTTGATCGTGGTCTATCCACCAGCATAAAATACTATTCAGTGTTAAAAGACAGCCATCTCATTGTCATGGTAGTCTAGCCTAATCTAATGATTCAAGCAATGAGCATTCTTGAAATATCCCTCCATTGCCCATTTTGTGTTTTACTTTCTTCTGATCGTACCCTGTTTTCCTTGGTATGATTCGCTTAGCTGCTCTGATGTCAGAGCAGGGTCAGACTCCCTGCCAATCCAAAGCTAGCCCGCTAACTGCTTTCATTTCTCAATACATATCCAGCAGTCTAAGCCCACTTATGCAGCAGTGAGGAATGCTGGGAGTTGTAGTTCACAACACCTGGAGGGCTATCCAAAGTCAATAGAACTCTGGGAGCCTGGGCAAATCCCACCATAACCTAGCAAGGAGAATCTATTTTCCTTATATGCTGTATATTCATTCCAACATGTCATTTTGGGTTGCTGGTAAAAAGAAAAAAGAAAGGACCTTATGCCCGACCTGGCCAGGATTTACACAAAAACATGGTTCACCCTGAACACTTACCACTGTCGACCCTGTAGGAGGAGAGCTGTGTGAGTCTCCGGTAGCCAAAAATCAAAAGAAATCAGGTCGCACCTTTTCCAACTAATGCATTTTATGAATGAGCTTCTTGTGATAGCTTCCGCCTTTCAATAAAATGTGTTAGTCGGAAAAGGTGCTACCAGATTCCTGATGTACCGCAACTGGTTTAACTAGCTGCTGCTGGATGTTTCAACCAGCCTGGTCTCCCCTAAACCAGTGTTTCTCCACCTTAGCCACTTTAAGATAGGTGGACTTCAACTCCCAGAATTCCCCAGCCAGGCCGGCCGGGGAATTCTCGGCGTTGGAGTCCCCCTATCTTTAACTCGGCAAGGGGGGGGCACACCACCCTAAACCCCTCCCCATCCCCCATTTTACACAC